TATTTATGATGAAAGTGGCCATCGGTGGCCGACAGCTGCTTGTCTATTTCTATATTCATTCTGTCTTTCCTCTTCAGTAACAGAACAGCAGCTTTCAGAGGAGCGTGTTGGTGTTTGAAAAGACCCCATTTTCCAGTCTTCTTTACAGTTACATGGAACCACAACACCAAGCTCTGACCAATGAGAGTTCTAAGCAGACAGCTGTCTGGCTCTTCAGGAGACCTGCTGTAAGGGCGCTAACTCAGCTAGAAGGAGTTAGATCTTTGTTTGTTTTGCCTTTCCTTTCTTACTTTCTGTTTCTCCTGAAGTTAATAATCACCTTTCTTTTTCACTTACCGAGTTTTCTTTGTACCTATTTGTTAATTATTTCCATACCTTATAATAGCCTCTCAGAATAATTTTCCACAAAGACCATCATATTACATAAACTATCAATTCCAGTTTTTTTCTCAGTCACACTCATTCCTCTCCTGTTTGGACTGGTTTTTCTTTAAGCTTATTGAGTGGCTCACATTCCAGGACTTTTCTTTACTATGGTCACATAATACTATAATACTTTTCTTTACTGTATTTCTCCTGAGTTGCAGTCCCTGTTTTCTGAATCACACATCTTCCTCTTTCTTACATAGTCCCTTGGTTTGACATAACATAACCTCCTGCTGCTTCTCAAGGTAAAAGGATAGTTCGACAGTGGTAGGCTGTTACACCTGCAACACATCTGCTCCGAATTGAAGTGGTCACCTTCTATGACTGGTACCCAGATGTCATCTTGGGATTCCCACTCACTGCCACACTGAAGATTCTCTTCACCCCACTCCCATGTTAAATATTTCATTTCTGTAGTGTGTGGCTTCCTTTCTTGGTTTACTACCTTGTTTTGGTTGAGCACATCCATCAGTAGCTTCCTGAGAAAGGTGGCATGGGAGGTAACTTTTTTGAGACCTTGCATATCTAAAGGTGTCTTTATTCCATCTTCTTACTTGTTGGATGAGTTGAGCGGGTGAGAAATTATTGGCTGGAAATCCTTTTCCCTCAGAGTTTTGAATCTCCAGTGTTGCTATTAAGAAGTCCAATGCTGATATGATTCCTGATCCTTCATATGTGACTTTTTTTTTCTCTAGAAGTTTGTAGGATCTTCCTTTTGTCTACAGGGTTCTGAAATTTCATAGTGAAATTTCACTTACATCCTTGGTAGTGGTCAAATTTACTCCATTGTATCAGAAATTAATCTAGAAACCTGTGTCCTTCAGTTCTGGGAAATTCTCTTGAATTATTTTGCTAATTATTTCTTTCTCTTCTCTTTGTAACTTCTGTTATTTCGGTATTGGATCTCCAGTTCTCTCGTACTTTGAGGGTTTTTTGCTTGTGTTTGTGGAGAGGGCAATTTTTGTTTTGTGGTTTTTTTTTTTTTTTGCTCTTCTTTCTGGGACATTTCCTCAACTTTCTCTTCCAACCTTTTAATTGAATTTCTAATTTTTGCTGTAATG